CAGAAATGGCCTGTTCTTCCTACAAGCAGAAATCACAACATTGCCAAAAGGAACAAAGCTACAGACACACAACACAGAACAAGGACAGATTGGCACGATAGCACCAACCACAACGCTTACACCACAAGGTCCTGCAGACACAGGATATGCAGGAGACTACTGGCAGTCAATTCAGGAAGACAATTTTCACACCATCAGGAACACAGTGTCCAGTTCCAGCAGAACAACTAGAGGATTACAGGAGAACAACAATCAGACCCAAGGACGGCGCAAGAAATACATTTGAGGACAAGTGTCAAACAACAGAGGATCCAAACAAAGCACAACCACAGATGTGGAAAGGCGAGACAGCCTTCAGGATCAAGAAAGGCACAAAGTTGCCAGAAACGCTACAGCAACAGTTTACAACAAAGACACGGCCAAAGAGCGAGCCACAGAGGATCACACCACAAGTGATTCACTACAACCCACGAACAAGGTTGAGAGGGAAAACAACACCACCAACACTACAGGAGTCAGCAGCACCACACACCACCAAAGGTGCAGCTGGACAAGGAATTCCACATCCTTCCGCAGTACACCCTGGAGGAGACTACTGGTACAGAGAAGGCCCACTGGAAGAGAGTATATGTTGAGCCTAGAACAGCGTTTTACATACCAGAGCAGACACACGACGGGCCAGACATCAAGCGACTCATACCTTGGAGACAGACCAAGGTACAACCAGTTGGAGGAGAAAGACAACATACAAGATTGATAGAAGATGAACGGACAACACAGCCAGCAAAGACATCAGACAAGCCTTGGACAGGCTGGACAAACTTTGAGGAACATCAGGAGTTCCCAACAACTTGAGTCAGATGATGAGGAACAACAACAAGGTACAAAAGCAAAAGCAGCACAAGCACCCAAGCAACCGACACCACAGGAGATACTTGAGTTCCTGAGAGCGCTTACAACAGCAGTGGCCAACAAGAATGGCAACATCACCACAAGAAACTCAGGAGCATACAGTTCACAATCACAAGGAGGAGTAGAGCGAGCACACAGAACATTGTTTGCACAAATCAGAACACTCAAGGCACAGATCAGACAAAACTACAACAGAGACATTTCAATGAAACATCCACTCATGCCTTGGATAGTTCGACACAGTGCATACATCATGAACAGGTATGCAGTTCACAGCAATGGATGCACAAGCTACTTCAACAGATGGAACAGAGAGCAACATACACCACTTTGCGAGTTTGGTGAGACAGTGCAACACATGCTACCAACAGTGAAACAATTTCCAAAACTCGAGCCAAGATTCTACAACAGGATCTGGCTTGGCAAGGATACAACTACAGGCGAACCCCTTCTTGGGATCAACAACAAGATTGTCAGAGCAAGGACAGTCAGAAGGCAGATTATGCCTCACAAATACAATCAGCAACTACTGGACTCTGCACACACAGGTCCATGGAAGACACCAGCATCAGCACTGCACACACCGACTCTCGCAACACCATTGACAATGCCAGCTACAAGCAAGGCACCACCATCACAGAAAGATGCAACAACTAGCACAGCAGCCGAAGGCAAGAGACAGAGCGCAACAGAAGCAGGCGATCAGCCAAACAAAGCAGAAAAGAACAACAGACCCAACATCACCTATGGCTACATCACCAACACACCAGAAGCGACCAGCATTGCCAGCACCACCGCCTACATCACCCGCAAGAGAAAGAGATGACACAATAGCAGAAGGCAGTACAGGCAAGCAACAGCGCATCACAACAGAAAGACAAGCACTTGAGCGACCCACAACATCAGAACAGCCAAAGAGCAAAATGAGAATGAGTGCCATCGAGTTCACAACAAAGGATGGTAAACAAACGCAGACAACATCCAATGAAGATGCAGAAGAAATCAACAATGAAAGGATCCTACTAGAGCCAATCCTACATGACACAGAAGACTTGGATCCACAACAGGTAGCACAAGGAATGAAGAAGGAAGTACAACAAATGAAAGATCAATCAGTCTTTACAGAGATTGATGGCAACACATTGACACCGGAACAACAAGCAAACATTATTAAGTCTAGATGGTTCTCAAACAGAAACACAACGAAGTGCGAGCACGTATAGTAGCAAAGGGCTACACAGAACCCGTTACACACCACGATCTCTTGTTTGCAAGTACACCATTGTTTTGCACACTGAGGATACTCCTCACAATGGCATTGGTGTGCAACTGGTCAGTCAGCACGTTGCATTCCTACATGCAGAAGCAATCTCCTACAACCTTGTAATGCGACCACCGCATGAGTTCTACAATGATGAAAACAGACACATAATGTGGCGGCTGAACACAGCCATTTATGGCCTACGATCATCACCAAAACAATGGCAAGACCACATAGCACACATCCTCACAGTCACACTTGGGCTTGTGAGATGCACAACAGAAAGCAATGTTTACAGGTCAAAAGACTGTCAGGTCTACATCATGATCTATGTAAACGATCTCCTCTTCATAGGAGTACAGAGCACCATCAACACACTCTTCAGCAGAATGCAAAAGGAAGTCCTGCTGAGACACACTGGCGACCTAACAGTTGGGTCAACAATACATTTCCTTGCCAAGAACATGTCACACAAAGGCGACCACATTGACATCAGCTTGAACAACAATTATGTTGACATCATCCTGGACATGCAACCCAGCAGGAGTACCACACATGAAAGGTACAGCAGAAGATGAAGCAGCACTAGACCAAGAACAACAAGAAATACAGGCGGCTTGTTGGCAAAATACAATGGCTAGCATACACAAGACCAGACATCAGCTATGGGGCAAAGGAGCTAGCAAGATCACTACAAGCACCAGCACAACTTGACAACAAGAAGCTCAAGCACATGATCAGGTACCTTAAAGGAACAAGGTACTCGCGACACAACCTGCGACCAAAGATACAAACACAGGACAAACAAATTCCACTCAACATTGACACATACACAGATGCCAACTGGGCATCGTGTGAGACAACAAGGAAAAGCAAAACAGGATTTGTACTGTGCTTCTTTGGGGCAGCAGTACATTATGGCAGCAGAACACAAGCAACAATAGCACTTTCATCAGCAGAATCAGAGCTGTGCGCGATTGGTACAGCAGCACAGGAGAGCCTCTACATCAGCAACTTCATCAAGGAAGCATTTGAAGTACGCACCAACATCAGGATACACACAGACAGCAGTGCAGCAAAATCAATAGCAATGAGAGAAGGTACATCAAAGAAAGCAGAGCACATCGAGCTGCGACACCTCTTCATACAACAACTTGTCAAAAGCAAAATCATCACCATGCACAAGGTAAAGTCGGAAGACAACACAACCGACATTCTTACCAAGTTCGTTGGCAGCGACACACTCAACAAACACCTGTACAATGTTGGCCTGTGAGGTCACACCACAACAGTTTCACACCAGTAAGTACAGTAGTCAGCACAGGTTGTTAAACAACAGGTGCACAGTTTACACATCTTTGTCTTACCACCTAACAGCCGGCATAGACACAATCTTTTAGGGTAGATACCTCGGCCTTTACAACCACTACACTTTTCCCCAACATCTTTTGGGAGCTACATTTGCATGGCAGTTTGCACATGTCTCAGACAACTTTTTGATACATGCTGCAGCCATCTACGTTTGCTTTGTGCAGTTTGTGCTTAGGCCAACATCCTACAATGGATCACCGTGCCTACAAGACCCTGCACATGCCTTTGACAGTGCCGGATGGATTCACAATCAAAAAGGTTGGGAACAACCCGGCTACACCGGACAATCCGCAGGATTACACTGAGTTGATGATTCCACTCACCATGGAGCGGTACAAGTTTGTTACAACCGTTGCTACATCGCAGCCAGCTGAGACACAGAAGATCCCGGGCTACATGAGGTCCCACATTGGGATTCATTGGGATGCTCTACAGCCTCATGGATTGCATCGGCTACCTCAGCTGGATGATACATGAAAACCTCGACAGTACATTGGACATGACAAATTTCTACATCCTCAAGGTCAGTCTCCAGACAGACGAGCTGTTTCAGAAGGTATGCCAGAATCAGGTGACATTGTTCAACAGAGGCTACATCAGTGCGGTTCTCCAGTTGCAACACACCTGCACATGGACTTTGTCGAACATCGAGAAGGCTTCCGGTCCAATCATCAGGGGCCACATTACAGAACTACAACCTCACGCATAATTTTAACACGTAGTCATCCCCATTGAGACAGTGCTCAACAATTTGGACCCTCAGGGTACATGCAGGCCTCACCATGGCACTACACCACTACAGCTATGCTGCGGTACAATTCATCGCTGAGCCACTCAGGACAAGAGTGATTCAGTACATTGTGGAGCACGGGATACAGCTCACAGGAAGCGGCGCAACCTTGGTTGCTGGACAGGTGGGCTACAGCGAGAAGCTTGGAGACATAGATGGAACAACCATCCTGTCACAACAGGGATACAGGCTTCTCGACAAGAAGCGGATCATGGACGACAAGTAGCTTACATTGAGTACAAATGTACAGATGTTCGAAACATTAGAAGCATCGATGTACAAAGAGCAACAGCCAGTAGAGCTGCTAACAACTTTTACATCACTTCGGCCCATGAGAACAAAACTGTTTTTGGCTTGTTGTAGAAACCTACATCAATCCAAGAGGGAGTGTTAATGTGCATCCATCCTTGTACATGACCTTGGCCTTTCTGTACATCAAGGCCTTGAGCCTATCTACAAGATAGAGCTACAGCCCTCGCCCGCTGAGACAACAAGTGCCACGCTGACACATCACAGGTTTGACACATTTAGGTCATCAGGTGTTTACACAGTTAGTTCCACTTTAACATATATGTGTATATATATATATATGTGCATAAACAGAATAATTTATGTGTCACGAATCGCCACGTCAATCGCCTTCCCCAGTTCCATCCGTGGCCGCGCCTCCGCCCTGGACCAGGCGACAAGGGCTCCACAGCGAGTGCACACCACGGAGGAGCCGTCCTCTCCCAACTCACAGACACGTGGCAAAGACGTGGCAAAGACATGAAAGCTGCGCCCTCCCTCCTGCAAGGCTTGCTTCAGTACAGCTTCGTGCCCCCTGGCGAATGCTTCCCCGACACTGTATGCTCTTGTCTCTGTGCCCGCCTGTCCACCAAAATCCCGCCGCGCTGGAGGATCGCACGGCAAACCTCCCGAAGGACTCCCGAAGGAATCATATCGCATGGCTTCGCATGGCTTCGCATGGCTTCGCATGGCTTCGCCGGGCTTCGCCGCTTTCCATTTTCGGCCTCCCTCGCCTGGCCCCGCCTCCAGCGCCGACTGCCGCGCGCCCCACACTGCCGCGTCCGGGCCCGCCTGGCACGTCACGTGCAGAGAAGATCTTCCGGCGTCTGAAACGGAAACCTTCGTGGTATTGAACAGTGTAGGCAACAAAGCGAGTTCAGTGCAATACGTTAGGCCCTTTGAGACGCCAAGCGTCGAAGCATTGTATGGGATTCTGAGTGGCTTTGGGCCATTTGCAGCAAAGCTCGAAACCTACAAACCAAACGAAAAGGGAAAATCCAAGAAGCAGCTAGTGAGCGTTGGAGCGGACGACAAAGTAACAAGCATGGATATCAAACATGGAAACCAACTGACACGGTTGTGAAAGGAATAGTCGGAATAGTCTACCCCCGAGGCCGCGACGCTGATTCGCAGGGCCTGCAGGGCGCAGGACCTAGTCACTAGATCTTGGCAACCGAGAGAGACTCAAAAGGGGAGGGTGAATGAAGCCACGCCAAACCGTATGTCGAAGAGTGCAAAAGACAGGCAGTGAGGCGCCCTGAGGTCTGCGCAAAGCTCCCTCAGGGTCGCCCTGGTCCATGCGCAAGAAAGCGCCCCCCAACAGCTCCTACAGAGTGGCAAGCCCACGAGTCCGCGCAAGTAACTCTCAGCAAGATCCCTTCCTCCACAGCCATGATGTTGAAATCCATCCTGAGCTCAACAAATTCCAACCAGGACGCTCTCTGGGTTGAGGCCAGAGCTGGGAAGTGGCCATGGCGAATTCTGCGCCTGGCCTGCTGTGTGCTCCCCTGTCCAGCGTCTTGATGCGTCCATGATGCCGTTTCCTTTGCCTTTCTGTAACATAGCAACACTTCAACATGGTGCCTTATATGGACTGGCTCTTGCTTGCCCTTCAAGGGACTGCGGACCTAGACCTATTGCAAACACCTGCGAGTCTTCCAGGCCCACAACGCGCACAATGCGCATAACGCTTTTTGATTCGATGCGCGGTCGCGATGCGCAGGGCGCTGGAAACCCTTAGCAGGTGCCATGTGGAAACGGCAAATAGGGTGCCAGCGAAGCATCCAAGATCACACCGTGGGCTGTCCCGGGGTGCAGGAAACAAACAAAATAGTCACTATGTCTCAGGTGATCTCAGGTGCTCTTTGGCCTCTGGGCACCATTGAAACGTGCTTGTGACAGTGCACAAGGCTCTGTGCAAGGTCACGGGGTGCAACAAGTCGATGCTTCAAATGCAAACAGACCGGGCTCACACACACACACACACACAAATGCTCAAACGTAACATTCACATGAAGCCGCCCCGCGGATAAAAGGATTGAGCATGCTCGGAGATCATTTGACAAGCCTCGTAGGCCACTACGAGACGGATACTGCAGCTCTGCACTCCATGGAGTGCAGCGGCACCAATTTACAAGGCTGTCCCGCCAATTCATAGCCTATCGGCGGGACCTCGCAATCTTCACTCCGATGAATCTGCTCTGCTGCTCTTTGAGAGCCCCGCCGAGATCGCGAGTCGCGGCGCCGGCTCGGCGAGCGGCGCCGACGGCTGTTGGACCTGCGATCGAAGCGGACAACGATGCGCTTGGACGATGCAAAGAAATGCAAAGAAAGAAAAGTAGCAACGCCCGCCGCCTTTTTCGGGAGTTCTTGCGCCGCCGCGAGTCCGAGCGGCTGCGGCCACGGGAGTCGCCCCGCAGCTTCTCCTGAAAGCCATCACAAGCCATCCGAAGCCGTCCGAAGCCATCCGAAACCATCCGAAACCATCCGCAACCAGGTCCCCAAATCTATGAATCCGGCGGGTTGCGGGTCCTGCACCATCTCGTTGACCATGCGCTCCGCGTGCATCCTCCCTCCATCACCGGTCTTGGATCCAGAGTTGGCGCTGAAAATCAGCAACCGCTCCTCACCCAGAGACGTTTCCGATCGCACAGATTAATATATTATCCATTGATGCACATGCGCGTGCGCGTACCGGCACTCAACACACAGAGCCGGAAGCGCACAGTGTCCTCGCCATGCCTGTCCAGCGCCATGAACATAAAGGTTCCGGTGGCCTGTCAAACTCTCACTATCCAACTGCGTGCCAAGCACAAACGGCAACCTGCAAGTCACATTTGAAGCTTCGCCTGTTCCACGCGGCGAAGCTCGCTACCGCGATTGCCGGTCACCCATCCTGAGTTGCTAGATACTCAGACTCTGAAGGACTTCGGCCGGGGCTGCCGCCTTTGCAGTTGTCCGGGATGTGCATCTCCGTGCAGTCTTCCCGGTCTGCCGCACCACGCTACAAACTGCTGCAAATTGCTATACTAAAACCTCCCACTAGCACCCACGCCTTGCACATCCCCGACGGTCACGGAGCCACGGCGTTGCGCGAGCAGCCAGTCCTCAGTGCTTTGCTCACAACTTGAACTCAGCAAATTCCGACTCTGAGCCGAGTGCAATGAACTGCTTGCAGCGCTTTCGCTCCTCGTGGCTCTGGAGAGCACTTCCTCCCCCTTCTACACCTTCCTCTACACCGTTCTCTACACCTTTCTCTCCCTTCTTCTCCCGTTTGCTCCCTTTTTCTCCAATGAAGTCCTTGAGGTCACCGGCAATGAAGGCCACGTGTCCCACGTACCTCACGGTCGAAACGAGTGCGCAACGCGTGTGCCGCCACTCCCGCACTGAAGGATGGATCCGGAGGCGAGCTCGAGCTTCTTGCGGGTGGCACCCTGTCAAGGCAGGGTGAAGCTGCTGGCGCAGGAATCGTGGCCTCACCTCCTTGCCCAAAGCATAGCTGAGCTCGTCATCCTCAAACAGGCAAGCATGAAGATTAGCCGAAAGCCGGCCCATTGAAACAAATAGAATACCTACAATTTGTTTGGCTCGGACATCTCACAGCGAATGTGAAGCGCACCCTGCCTTCAACACAAAGCGATCTGTTGCGAAGCCTTTGTCCTTAGGGCGTGCGGAGCACTGATGGATGCTCAGTCAACCTGGAGCTGTGGGGGCAAGGCTGAGATGTACTTCTCACGCACGCCGCGAGTGAAGGTGCCGGGGCTCTTCGTCTCCACGGCGCTCATGATCTCCCAATTTCCAGAAAAGGACAAACACGGCAAAGCAGGGCCCAGCTAGTCTTCCCCCTAACTCCCCCAACCCCAGCCCCTGGTCCCCGGTCAGCCTTCAGCTCGGCCCCACGCCGCGCCCGGCGGGGTCCGAAGATCGCCAGCTGCTCGGACCCGCCGCTGCGCCGCTGGCCCTGGCGCATCCCCCAGGTGCCAAGCTGCCTTTGGAGTTCCAAAGTTTGGACTATTCATCCTTTGACTTGTTCCATGTCACCCATGCTCAACATTCCGCTCGGCTCACGCGTGAGGCACCTTGCCGCCGCCGTTCGCCGCCTCCTTGTTCATGAAGAACATGAGTGTGCCCCACTCCTCAGAAAACGTGAATCACATTGCGGCATGAACACAGCATGCAACACCGGCATCCATCTGTCCTCCTCCATGTTGCCCAGAGCTGCTCGGCGAGCCCCGGTCACGTAGCCGATGCATTCGCTGGGCACCTGCAAGTGCCAAAAGCTCAAAGCGAGTCTTGACTTGTGTCTTTCGTTCAGATCTCAGATGGATCTGAGCAGCAGGCATCCACCACGGTGCAGTCATCCCGCTCTTCCCAGCCCTCCACGTAGACCTGCGGTTTTCGCTTTGGCGCCGGGGCAAGATAGCAAGATCTGGGGGCGAGGCTGGGCCCTCGAGCTGGTCAAAGAGCCACTTCATGTACTCCTCGCAGCTTTTTCCCACATTTGTTACAGTAAACCGAAGGAAAGGGGCCATGGATTGAGATGCAGGTCATTGATTGAGTGCTAATTTAGCCAAGGGCTCGATGGAGAAAAGCATACCCTGTTGCCAAATGCCAAGCATTCCTGGACGATCTGTGCAACGTTGCCGGGTCCTTGGCCTTTTTCCGTACAGGCTTCTCCCCGGAGAAGAGTGCGACCTGCGAATCGAGGCAGCTTGCATTCGTGCCGCGCGATCTGCCCCTGCCTGGCCAACATATTGCACGATAGCGCCAGACGCCTTCTCTAACTTCTTCCTGGCCATGGCAAGATCATGAGGCACAGCTCTTTCGAGATCTGCCCTTTCTTACTCTTTCTCCCCGTCAGGTATCTTCTCCGCTCTCGCCTCTCTCTCTCTCTCTCTCTCTCTGTCTCTTGCTCGTCCTGGTGCCGCCCTGCTTGCCAAGGGCATAGGAGAGCTCGTCATCTTGAAATGTCATGGTGTCGGTACCCCAGGTGCCGTCCTGCTCACGTGCTTGTCTGAGTTTCTCTTGGCCCTTGATCGTTTCTCGCTTCTCCTCCCCCTTGCCGCGATCTCGGTCAATGACCTGGCAAAAAATGGCACAGCACGCCCATGCGATCAACATGCTGAGGGATGGATTGGGGGCATTTTGTCTTCAATGTTTGGTCTGCGTGTCTTGATTCCAGCTGGGTTTGCGGCCTCGTTCTTGAGGCGCTCAAAATATCCAGGCACCTGGCGGCAAGGAGCCGCAAAAAAAGCAAAGGCAAATCAGACTGCACTCAACATTCATTTGTTCAGTCATTCTTTCCGAGACAGCCCTAAAGAGACAATGCCACCAGAAGGAAACCGACGACCGGGGCCTTGGTCTCCACTGCACTGAGCACTTTGAGCTCAGCGCCCCGGCGGGACCGTACCTCGGGACCGGACCCGCTTCCCTCCCAAGGCTTCGAAGGAACGTGCAGCACACTCCCGAAATCTGAACAAACCAAGGGCGCAGTGCCAAAGATGGCTAGCTTCTCATAATCCTGGCGCAAACCAAATCACGGAAAACGTCTTGACCCAGGATTTGTGCCGTCCAACCCCACCGGACGTCCTTCCCGCGGCCACGGGATCCGTCCACCTCGCAAAAGAACATCAGAGTGCTCCTCGGTCCGGGCAGACGATTTTCCTGAGCCTCGCGTCGTGCAGGCAGCGCACACCGGGGCTCATACCACTCTTCTTCAATAGTTCGCAGGAAGTTTCCTGCCCTCAGTGCGTGCTTGTGGCTGCAGTGGCCGCGATCATATGGCAACAAACCAAACACCACTCATCATTCCTAGAGACTTCCTGGGCTTAGGACTTGTGCAAAGGCTTACGAGGGCGTCAAATCAAAGCTCGGATCGATTCTGCCGCTGTCCTTCCAGTGACGAAGCCAACCGCCTCCTGCGGAACGTTGATCATTGTCAGATCATCGTCGTCGTCATCCTGGGCAGCCGCCAAAGGTCAGCACAAATAGGCAAACTACAGGTGCTCATCTTTCTGGGCTAGTTCCTGTCAACCAACTTCAGCCAGCCCCTCCCTTGGCCCCACTCAGCCCCCTGCCAGGGTCACATTCACCGGCCCGGTGCGCTGATCCATCACACCCTTGCAATACTTCTTGGCACGCCGTCGGGTAAGCCTCGGGACGAAACGAGAGGCGAGGCGACTCGCTCGCTTCGGAGTCGCTTGAGTCAGCCGCTTGGACCCCCGGATCTCCAAAATGAGGTCTCGCTCAAAGAGCTCAATCTCCGCGCCTCTCGCATTGCTACATCTTCAACCAACGCAATGACCGAATGGGGTATGCTCAAGGTTTAGCGGTCATACAGTTCGATTGAAAACATGCTCCCAATTGCAGCCCAGGGGTGGTGGTGCTTGTGTTTCTTTGTTGGGGAGTGGAAGCTTTCTGGGAGTCCTCGCTTTTTGCACACAAACCCCAGGTCACACGGCCTGACACCTTGGAGATCTTCTCCTTGGTTCTACCACCTTTGCCTCACCGAGCGAAGTCGACGAGATCCGAGTCAGGTGAGTCAGGTGAGTGAGGCGAGTCAGGCGAGTCAAGTGAGTCAGGTGCCCAGAATGAAAGCAGCATCGTCATCCGTGATCTTCATCGTGTCCACGCCATAGTCCTGGGGCTGTGCTGAACCTCAGGCCGCGTGTCGCCTTGCGTCGCCCTGCGTCGCCCTGCGCCCTGCGTCGCCCTGCGCCCGTCCTCGGGCTTCTTGTGGCGGCTCGGGCTTCGGCTATCCTGCGGGCGCTCAGACTCTCACGGAAGGCCCAACCTCGGGCCCGCACCTTGCGGCGGCTGCGGTCGCGGCTGCGACTCCGGTCCCTTGGGGCGACGCTTGGCATCTTGCCATAGGCTTCTTCGAGCCTTGATCCAAGAATCAAATCATTGCCAACTTCAATGGATCCGTCAAAGGAAAACAGGAGACGCCGAAATGTATCCAGTGCACGCTGGTATCGGAGTATGGTTTAATTAGTTGGTTTTTTTGAGTGGGGAGCCGCCTCCCTGCCCAGCCCACTGGCCAGGCCCATTGGCCCGTTGGCCCGTTGGCCCGGCCAGACCCCTGCCATGGCTGGAGTCTCAAACAATTTCGGAACATCTCTTTAATTGATGTCATGATATGTAATGATACGTAATGACTAATGATATGATATATATATATATATATAGATATGTATGCTTGATTTGTTCTGGCCTCTGCCCTTGCCCCAGGGCAAAGAGCCGAGAGGGTAAGGGCTTTCGCGAGACCCTGGGCGCCCCGCACGCCTGAGTGGGCACATTAGTCGCTGAAGAGATGTCAGAGATGTCAACGACCGTGAAGAGGTGAGGGGTGGAAGAGGTGCTCATTGTGCCTTCAACCAAATGGGGAACTGGTAACCTTTGTCTGCCCTCCCATAAACTCCATTAAGAAAATCCACAAATAAAACTCCGCAGACTCTCTTTTTCGTTTTGCCACGCTTTGCCTGGGGCCTTGACAACTTGACCTGCAACCCCTCAAGCAAGGGACTGGCCTCTCGACCACGGTCCTGTTGAGGTCAAGCGTGGGAGACGAGAAAAGTCGCAAGGCCGTCGACTGAGCAACGTCGCAACGTCCGTGAAGAACAAACGGCGAAGTACTGAGAGCGAGCATGACAGACCTGCGCGGCTGCGCGGTGCGCCCTCGCGCCCTTTGTGCCCCTGGGAGGCCCCTACAAACGGGCTGGCCGGATAGGTGTGCTGTCTTTTGATTCTATCCGGACTGCGCCGATGCTGGAATGAAACAAACCTTTGCTATGCATGCTCATGCGGAATGACAAGCTGTGCCTTCAAAGTGACTTGTGCTGCCTTGACTCAAGGCACTTGTTCGGCTTCAGGTTTCCCAACTTTGCAAAGCAGTGTTTGTGCTTTCAGCCCCTTTGAGACGCTTCGGCAGAGAGGGTCAGCCGGCACGGGCCCGGCACGGGCCCGGCGCGGGCCCGGCGCGGGGCCGACCAGCCGGCAACCATCACCTCAGCACCTAAGCCGACCGCCCGGTCCCCTGTGGCCGCCGCTTGCCGCTGGGGCTTCGATCGTCCCCTCCCATGCCTGGCGATCCAAGCGCCGACGCGAACCCGCGGCCTCGAGAGCCCGCCTGTGTTCCCAAAGATCGGAGTCCCGAGGTGCCCGGGTGGCAATGGTGTACCCTGCAACTCACGGAGCTTTGAGCACGAAATGTGCTGCGGTTCCCACATGGAAGCACATTTCGTGAGTTGAAAGCAGTGTGTGACAAACTTATCTTCTGCTCCCGGTCGCATTGCAGTAGCTTGTTGGCTAAGCCCAATCCATCCGCATCAGAGGTACGGGTCCACCACGGGAGCCTCAGGCTGACAGCCACCAGCTTCCACAGGCAGAACTGCCGCATGCGGCCCGGCCTGCACACGCTTCAACACCTTCCTTCGCTTCTTCTTTGGCTCAGCCTCACCGTGAAACGAGTTGCGCACGAGCAAGGTACAGCCACCAGGAATACTCAACTAAAGCCACCCAAAAAACTATCCATTCTTAGGGCTGTCAAAATGAGTATGCCCATGTTTGGACCCTAGATCAGCCCTATCTCCCGTGCTGGCTAGCAACTCTTCACTCCTTCCATGCAGACGTGACATGAGTCAACAACTCCAACTCTGAGGAACCTCGTGAGGATTTCTAAATTTTGTTCCACAAACATCTGAGCCAAAATGAAAACTCGAGAAAAAGAACTTCTCCCGTCCACCGAGCGGGTAAATTGCACAAATGTGCATCATCTGGCTTCCCCCCCCCCAAAAAAAAAAAGGTCTTTGCTACCTCAGTCAACATCCAAACCTGGTAGTAGCCCTGTCTGCAGTCGGCAGTCTACCCAAGTCTACCCGAAACCATGAAGAGAATCGAAAGGGTGGCCGCTCGAACATTCATGATTGGGGCTGTTCTCTACCAAATTGCTGCAGTGTCTCATGCTCCTGGCTAAACCAATGCCACAACGTGCCAAGCACTGCCTCAATGAATCGACCAGCTAGCTGCAACCATCAAAAAGCCCTTCTGGCTCGTCAAAAAAAGAGCAGTTGAAATCAGAGCATGCAGAAAATTCACTCGGCCCCCCGCTGGTGTCGTCGCTTTCGCAGCCTGGCAGACCACAACTCCCAGCAATCGCTAACAAAAGCCACACAACCAAAACTTGTCTAACATGAATCTCAGCATCTAAGACTGGCACCGGCTTAACCGGGGATGCAGCTGCCTTCGCGGCCTGTTCTGACTTGCCCACGCATTTGGCGCTCCCGCCCTACTCTGTGAGCAACAAACTGATGCCTTCTGTGAATGAAACTGTCCACAATCACCTGGCCTGACTCACTGGCTCGACCGAGGTCTTTGCTACCTCAGTCAACATCCAAACCTGGTAGTAGCCCTATCTGCAGTCGGCAGTCTACCCAGATCTACCCGAAACCATGAAGAGAATCGAAAGGGTGGCCGCTCGAACATTCATGATTGGGGCTGTTCTCTACCAAATTGCTGCAGTGTCTCATGCTCCTGGATAAACCAATGCCACAACGTGCCAAGCACTGCCTCAATGAATCGACCAGCCAGCTGCAACCATCAAAAAGCCCTTCTGGCTCGTCAAAAAAAGAGCAGTTGAAATCAGAGCATGCAGAAAACTCACTCGGCCCCCCGCTGGTGTCGTCGCTTTCGCAGTCTGGCAGACCACAACTCCCAGCAATCGCCAACAAAAGCCACACAACCAAAACTTGTCTAACATGAATCTCAGCATCTAAGACTGGCACCGGCTTAACCGGGGATGCAGCTGCCTTCGCGGCCTGTTCTGACTTGCCCACGCATTTGGCGCTCCCGCCCTACTCTGTGAGCAACAAACTGATGCCTTCTGTGAATGAAACTGTCCACAATCACCTGGCCTGACTCACTGGCTCGACCGAGGTCTTTGCTACCTCAGTCAACATCCAAACCTGGTAGTAGCCCTATCTGCAGTCGGCAGTCTACCCAGATCTACCCGAAACCATGAAGAGAATCGAAAGGGTGGCCGCTCGAACATTCATGATTGGGGCTGTTCTCTACCAAACTGCTGCAGTGTCTCATGCTCCTGGATAAACCAATGCCACAACGTGCCAAGCACTGCCTCAATGAATCAACCAGCTAGCAAACACAAGAATCAACCATGAAAAAGCCCTTCTGGCTCGTCAAAAAAAGAGCAGTTGAAATCAGAGCATGCAGAAAATTCACTCGGCCCCCCGCTGGTGTCGTCGCTTTCGCAGCCTGGCAGACCACAACTCCCAGCAATCGCCAACAAAAACCACACAACCAAAACTTGTCTAACATGAATCTCAGCATCTAAGACTGGCACCGGCTTAACCGGGGATGCAGCTGCCTTCGCGGCCTGTTCTGACTTGCCCACGCATTTGGCGCTCCCGCCCTACTCTGTGAGCAACAAACTGATGCCTTCTGTGAATGAAACTGTCCACAATCACCTGGCCTGACTCACTGGCTCGACCGAGGTCTTTGCTACCTCAGTCAACATCCAAACCTGGTAGTAGCCCTATCTGCAGTCGGCAGTCTACCCAGATCTACCCGAAACCATGAAGAGAATCGAAAGGGTGGCCGCTCGAACATTCATGATTGGGGCTGTTCTCTACCAAACTGCTGCAGTGTCTCATGCTCTTGGATAAACCAATGCCACAACGTGCCAAGCACTGCCTCAATGAATCGACGAGCTAGCAAACACAAAAATGAAGCATCAAAAAGCCCTTCTGGCTCGTCAAACAAAGAGCAGTTGAAATCAAAGCATGCAGAAAACTCACTCGGCCCCCCGCTGGTGTCGTCGCTTTCGCAGCCTGGCAGACCACAACTCCCAGCAATCGCCAACAAAAACCACACAACCAAAACTTGTCTAACATGAATCTCAGCATCTAAGACTGGCACCGGCTTAACCGGGGATGCAGCTGCCTTCGCGGCCTGTTCTGACTTGCCCGCGCATTTGGCGCTCCCGCCCTACTCTGTGAGCAACAAACTGATGCCTTCTGTGAATGAAACTGTCCACAATCACCTGGCCTGACTCACTGGCTCGACCGAGGTCTTTGCTACCTCAGTCAACATCCAAACCTGGTAGTAGCCCTATCTGCAGTCGGCAGTCTACCCAAGTCTACCCGAAACCATGAAAAGGATCGAAAGGGTGGCCGCTCGAACATTCATGATTGGGGCTGTTCTCTACCAAACTGCTGCAGTGTCTCATGCTCCTGGATAAACCAATGCCACAACGTGCCAAGCACTGCCTCAATGAATCGACCAGCTAGCAAACACAAGAATCAACCATCAAAAAGCCCTTCTGGCTCGTCAAAAAAAGAGCAGTTGAAATCAGAGCATGCAGAAAATTCACTCGGCCCCCCGCTGGTGTCGTCGCTTTCGCAGCCTGGCAGACCACAACTCCCAGCAATCGCCAACAAAAACCACACAACCAACACTTGTCTAACATGAATCTCAGCATCTAAGACTGGCACCGGCTTAACCGGGGATGCAGCTGCCTTCGCGGCCTGTTCTGACTTGCCCACGCATTTGGCGCTCCCGCCCTACTCTGTGAGCAACAAACTGATGCCTTCTGTAAATGAAACTGTCCACAATCAGGCCAGGCCGAGGTCATTGCTACCTCAGTCAACATCCAAACCTGGTGGTAGCCCTGTCTGCAGTCGGCAGTCTACCCAGATCTACCCGAAAGCATGAAGAGAATCGAAAGGGCGGCCGCTCGAACATTCATGGTTTGGACTGTTCTCTACCAAACTTGACTGACCCAAACTTTGGTTGCGGCTCACGTCAAACCCGTGTCCCCGTTGCAGCAATGCCACAATGTGCCAAGCACTGCCTCAATGAGTCGACCTCACTCATAACAGCCAAACTCTGTAAATTTCCCTGCAACATCTTCCCTTCGCACCATGAAATGCTAGTTTTGTCTCAGCAAGTGTCGTATTTACCGCGCTTCCCAACAAACACCCAGACATATTGGTGGCTTTTCCGCATCTCCAACGCCCAGCGACAGATGGCAGCGGGAAAGAAACGGTAGAGTTCTGGGTTTCCAGGTTTTTTTCCCCCATTTTTCCAGTGAGGGACGCGAGGTCTAAGACCTGGATCACGCTATCAGGCTGGCGTAGGGGCGGGCAGGCAGCCAAACGAGCACGCCAATCTCAAGCAAACATTTGGTAGAATCGCAATGACTATATCGACGTTGGACCAGCTGGCATGAACATGAAGCATCAAAGGACCTGCTAGGTCATCAAAAGATCAGGTAGTTGAAATCGGCACAGCTGAGAAATACTCAGCACTCCACTGGAGTCGCCGCTTTCGCAGCCTCGAGGCATCAACACGTCAAGGCAAGGATCAATGAGCTCGACAGCTTTCTACGGCTCACTGGTCTCCGATCCACGAGTGCCCTGCAGGAGCTGCAACCAGCTGCTCCAGGCTTGCAGTGGCTCGCCTGTCCAGTCGTTAGTCGTGGCAAGTCCACGCTTTCTTTGTGGCCTCTTTCGCTTGCGCTTCCGCAGCGGCACAGGCATCTCCGGCTCGCCCTGGCCCTCGCCAAGCTCGCCAAGCTCGCCCGGCTCGCCCGGCTCGGCTTGTGGGTCGCTTGGGCCCTCCTGGCTCGGGGCCTCAGCCTGACTTGCTGAGCTGAGGTCTCTCACAGTCGCCTGGAGCACCGCCGAAGCACCTGAAAGGAACGAAGGAACGGCGAGCTGAGTCAGTCGCTCTCTCCGAGGCTCGGGCTGTCAGGGACAGCCGCGGTCACCACGGCAGGGGCTGAGACCCCGAAGCCTGCGATGTCCGGCAGATAGCGCTCGCGCTGCATCGTTGCACGCTAGCTTCTTTTTCTCCGTGGCAAGAAACAAACTGCAGGACTTGGGCGCCGGCTGAGCTTCCGCCGGATCACCTCAAGGTCTGAAAGATGCTTTCGCGGCTGCTCTGCTTTGGGGTCGGGGTCCTGGCTCTGGCTCGCTTCTGTGGCCTTGCGGGCAGTGGCTGCATCTGCTTCTTGCGAGCTCACTTTCGATGTCCACAACCATTGCACGCGATGAATGAAATCAATGGCGGCATCCGTCCCTGTCCGGCTCTGCATGCAGATTACGCTTTGCCCCGATGCACTCCATGCTGCACATCTGACCGCGCAAACAAATCGAGATCAAGACAGGTCCTGGAGTGAAAAGAAACAGAGCGCGTTTGTACAGCAATAGATCCTACGTTGAGACCCGTATCCCTCCGGGTCTGAGTCCCCTTAGCCCAAACTCCAAACTCCTTTCAGAAACAAATTGCATTAATTGCGAGGGCCGGCCGCTTCGGCCGGGGCTTTCGCTGCTTGAGCCGCTTGGGCCGCCTCCGCCACCTGCCAGGCACGCCGACACTGGCGCACCGCTCGATGCTCCTCCGCCCGAAGCCACAGGTCGGCAGGCAGCTTCCGCTTGAGCTCGCACAGTAGCAGCCGGTCTTCGGGGCACAAGGCCTCCGCCCCCTTGCAGTCCTTGCAGTCCTTGCAGTCCTTGGCGTTGCGCTCACGCTCGGGGTCCGTGCCCTTCGCTGTGCGCTCGTCGGTCTCCTTGCACGTCAAGGCGAAGCACTCCACACAGCGCCACTTCCGGTCCACGCGGAAGCGCAATGCATCCGCGGAGATGCGCCAACCGCAGCCGTTGCACTTTGACCGAGCGGACTTGGCATACTCCACAACCGCCATGGCGGCGCGTGCCGGCGGCGCGTGCCGGCCGATAAGTCTCTTTTGAATGACTGTCCCATCCATGCTCCCCCTCGCTCCCATCTCGCTGTGTTGCCGACAATTTCCAAGGTCCCGTGTTGCAAACTCACGGCCGGCTATCGGAGCTGAAAAGTGGACCGGCACACTCGCGCTCGCTCACACATTCCGACGGGCCTGGACTGCTCCGAGTCCCTGGGCTCCTGATGCAACCCCATCCCGATCCCTCAGGGCCCTCGGGGCCCTCAGGGCCCTCAGGGCCCTTGCCTCGGACGCAGAATCGAAGCCGCAGAGCACAGACCACCTCGGAGAGGAAATCGAGTCTGAATGCTCAGGGCTCAGGGCAGGTCGTGGCAAGCAGGCACTGCTCCCCAACGCTCCAGCAAAGTGCTACGAGGCTTATTGCAAGAAGGAAGAAGGGCTGTCATTTGCAAGGAAGAGGCATAGAAAGAGCGATCATCGAGGGACTCCCAAACTCACCAATCCATGTGAAGGGCTTCTTTCAAACATGCAAACGATCCCCTTGCCGGGCCAGTCCGTTGAACGTTTGAAAACCATTCACCTGCCCCATCTGAGCCCGCGACTTGCGCTTGCACTGGACTTCCCTTGTGCCTGGGGCGCTCGTCTCCGAGTCGCGGCCGTGCGTTGGGACGAGGCGGCGACCGGCGAAGGTGGCGGTAATGTGCACCTCAACACGCGGCATGCTGGTGATGGGTAGGGCGAGGCGCGAGGCGCAAGTTGCGAGGCCGAGCTGAGGATCTGGCCAAAGGCCTGGGCGAAGCCTCAGGCGAACCTATGCGGTGCAGTCGCGCCACTCGCGCGAGATCAGAACGGCCCAAACCGAGCAGCGCACGCGTCGGCCAGTCCTGCTTCATGACCAGCTCTTGGGCCTCCTCACTCCGCACGCTCTTAGCACGCGCTGGTTGGCACTCAAACCAAATAAGTCTGGGCCTCTTCGACAGCAGGCTCCTCCACACCTCAGCAGCTTGTCGAGTGAGGTGCCGTACACACCTCTCCTTTCTCAGTATTCGTGTGTTTGGTTTCACCCCATGCTTCAGCAGCTGTGAACAGTCCCACCAGCGTCCAGGGCCGCGGGCGCGGCTCAGGCCGCGCGGGTTCCCTGGCCTCAAGTGAATGCGAGAAACTGCGACTCCTGCCATCCTTCCGCACTCTGCATCCAGGCCGTGCTTTCATTCCGTCCTCTCAGTCGCAAAGTCATAAGTGAACCGTCAAAACCCCCCCTCTCACGCGTCGCCACTTAGCCGAGCTTCACGGTGTTGTCGTCGAGGAAGGTGTAGGGGGGCAGCTCCAGGTTCTTGGGGGCCGGTCCTTGGCGCATGCGTCCGGCGTAGTCATAATGGGAGCCGTGGCAAGGGCAGAAGTAGCCGCCGTAGTTGCCCGAGTCGGGCTGCGGGATGCAGCCCAGGTGCGTGCAAACACCGATGCAAATCAGCCACTCAGGGCGCTTGCAGCGGTCAGCATCAGTGGCCGGGTCGCGCATGGAGGGGGCAATGACATCATCCTTCCGGGCAGCTGCGATCTGCTCAGGAGTGCGCTTGCGGATGAAGACCGGCTTCGAACGCCACTTCACAGTGAAGTTCTGCCCCAATCGGATTGGTCGCAGGTCGACCTCAACGACACCGGCCGCAAACACATCCTTGGCCGGCCAGAGTGTCAGGATGAGCTTTCCGGCAATCGCCCGGATCAGCGAGGCTGCGATCACAGCACTCGCGGCGGTCATGAAGTACACGAAGGGACGGCGATCCGCATGGCCAATGGGAAGGCGGTTGGCTCGGAAGTCGAGCGCTCCTGCTGGCACTGTGGTTGTGGGCATTGGAGCATGCTCTGCATAGCCAACGGGACGGAAGTTCTCCGGGGAGAACTTGGCAACGGACACAATTGCAGGCTCCTTGGGATCCTGCCACACGTCCGTGCGGGTCAATGTTGCTCCAGAGGCAAGCTCACCCTTGGAGAGGTCAGGCTTCCTGGGGAAAGTTGGCTCACGGATTGTGTCGTAGTGGTAGTACCTCAACTCTCCCATGCCAACAAACTGGTGAGGATCGCCGGAGGTCTCGCAGAGCTGCGAGGTGTCGTGCACTGCCGGGGGCCTGACGGCTTTCTCGAAGTCCTCTTTGTGCTCCTTTGGGGACTTGTGCAAGAATTCATTCTTGTACGTGGGTTTTTCGGACGAGGGGGCCATCTCATCATTGTCAAGCATCAGGTGAAAGTTCACCGGATGAGCAAAGCATCGGGCCTGCAACCCATATGCCGCGACCTGGGGCCGCGCCCGGAGAGCCGGCGCGGAACGGACGAAGAGCCGCGGCAGCATCTTGAGTCACAGGGCTGCGGCACGTCCAAACAGATCTGTGAAGGTTCGGGCTGAGCATGTGACACATGTGACACATGTTCCACGCTTGCAATGAAAGAGCATGATCCTATCAAGCAGACTTCATTGAGCCACGTGCTGTTAGCTCAAGAGGAGTCTGCCCCTGTGAGCACTTCACCACAATATCCACCACCTGCAATGGATGTTCAACGAGTGCATCCCTTTGGCACAAGACTGGGCGTGCCTCTTGCGCATGCTGCTGCAGGATAGCCGGGAGCGGGTTGCAGGTGCTACCTAACGCGAAACCGGCCTGCACTCCCAAACCGCTTCCGTTCGGCTTCTGCGTTTTCAGCTCCTCTGCCTCTCTTCGCTGCTCCGAATGCGCGGGCCGAGGGCCCTGCGCAGCTTCACTGGCCTGCAAGCGAGGCGCGAGCGGAGTCCCTCCCCGACCCTCAACGAGTCAAACAAGTCAACGAAGATCCCGTGCAGAGGAGCGGCGAGGTGGGCATGGCCAAGCAGATGCGCCAAAGGCACGAGTCTGGGGCCACGTGGTTCGAGGACCTGTCCCGTTGCACCCAAAGCCGCAAGTTTCAAGGCAACTTGCGGGTTTCGGGACACGCGGACGCCCCCCCCCGGCTTGGGACATTCGAAACTCAACTCGGCCCCGAGCTCGTCCATGTTCCGCGCAAGCTGGTCCCGCCACTCAGCCAAGGCCTCCGAACGGCCAAGGGAAAAAAAGGCGACTGACCGTGCGTCGCGCGCGCTTGCCTTGAGGGTGTTGAGCTGCTTGGTCTCCAGCGGCTGCTTGGAGCCGAAGCGCTTGCACAAGCCCTGGGCCTCAGCGAGCCGCTCGGAGCCGCACCTCTCAACACCCCCTGGCGCCCCTGGGCATCCGGCCAGTTCTCCTGCATCCAGCGGGGCTTCCCGATAAGCTTGGGCACACAGTGCAGCACCTCAAAGCGCGACAAGCCCGCGCGCCGGCTCGGAACACGCTGAGCGGCCCGACTCTGCTGCATCACCGTCTGAAGCGCCTGCACCTGGCGAACCAAACCTGTGAACACCTTGCACCTCAGGCTCTTGTGTTTGACCCATCGAAGGCCAGTCTGAGAGAATGAAACCAAAGGGAACTCCCGAAGCTCTGAGCCTCGGACGCCCTCGTCTGTGGCCTGCACGTCTCCCCGCTCCAGCGTGGGGATGCCCAGGTTGACGCCGCTGGTCGAGGCCTCCGGCATCCAGGACTCGTCTCAAACATCACCGTAAAAACAGATCTGAGCAGACATATAGACTCATCCCGAGCGGGAGGCGACTTTGCCCCAATGTACAAACACTGAGCGTGGCTCGTGTGCCACGATCTTGCTGGTCTTTGTGCTGGATCCTAATGCTGCGCTCGGAACACTGGGCTCCCGAACCATGCCGCTCTGGGCTAGCAGGGCATTCTTCAGGCAGTCAAAGCCTTCCGAAAGGCTCGCGCCAACCATTCGTGGATGGCGAGTTCCCACGGATTTTTTCCGACAGGCCAAGGGGCAGAAGAGCAGGTAGTGAGTGTCGGCCTGCAGCTTCTTTCGCCCTCTCCGACTCTCCAGGCTGCACGTCAGCTGACCCCCCAAGTTTTCGCTGGGATCCGAGCACGGGCATAGTAGATCATGTCCTGCGCATGCAACTGTGCGAGAGCTGGTAAGCCTTTTGGGCTCTATAACTGCCCCACTATTGCTAAGTCCTTTTGCGAGTGGCTGGTTCAATGATTGGGGATTCTTTCTCTTTGTGGGAACTCTCCTACATCGTTTCATCCACTACCTATATATTACTCAAAGCTGCAAAGAATGAAGGTAGATGAAGAATATGGACACGTCCTATTCGTATTTGCTGTTTCTTATCAGCCCTTGACAGCGGGGGCTGCTTTTTTGGCCACAAACCTTTTTGGTCCATGACCACGGCTTAGCAATGAGATGGGTGAATCCCATCCGCTAGGTAAAAGAAATCGGTGGGATCCCAAATGCGCTTGATCGCGGAGAGCTCTGCGTACTGTGGGAAATAGGCTTGTCGATACTTGTCGCTGCCACGCAAAGGCAAATTGATATATCCAGATCCAGGCCTGTCCGGACGAAGCATTTCGGCATTATTCTGAACAAACTTCTTTAGCAGCTGGGCTGTCTCTGGTGTATTGCATTCCACTGTCACCAAGGGCCAAGAACGGTGGCCCTGCAGTGGCCCCAAGCCGTAGCGGCACTGCCCGGAGTGCTTCCGGAAGAATCCTTCCAAGACCTTTGCAGCCTCTCGGATCTCGGTGAGTGGGTAGAAGCGGGTAAAAAGAGACGCCGTTTTGAAGGGATATTGCCCGAAGAGCCAGGTCTCTGGGCTGCTCGGCCAATTGACAGGGTCTGTGAATTCGGTTGCCAAGGTGATGGACTTCGAGGCGATCCACGACATTGCTTGGAGACTGGTGGATGCCTCACTATCATTCAGAGCGATTTGCAGGAACCACCCAGATCCCTGAAGCTGATTGTTTTGATAGAAGACGGAATCCCATCGGGCAGGCCTACCCACCCGAAGCTTGTCTCATCCGGCACTACAGAAAGTAGATGCTCGAAGCTGTTCATCACCGGAAGAAACAAGAATGGTCGCTCAGTCTGGCTAAAGAGCTGGATCGTCAAGTTGGTGACGATGCCGAAACTGGAGCCAGCCACATGCATGGCCCGGAAGAGCTTTTGCTCGTCCCCTACGCTTTGCGCATTCACTGTGTCATAAGTTGCATGTGTGAAGGAGTAATTCGAAGGAAGCACCTCAGACTTGGTAAAAGTCACAGGTTCCATCTTCGCTGCAGTTTGCCCATTCGTGCTCACAACGTTGGAGCCCAAAGTGCGCAGGTCCAAATTGAGTGACCGGTCCGATTTGAAGCGGGGCAAAGCACTCGCGTTGGCGTTCGGTTGCGCTCGCAAAGACGTTGGTCTTGGTCCATCTCCACGTCGATGGCTTCTCTGGGTCAGGTGAGCTTGAAGCATGTCTGTGTCCCGTAGTCTACTGTGTCTGTGTCCCCACCTTCATTTCATTTCATTTCCCACACGTGCCATGGCAAGCTGCAACCAGAGCACCAACTGCTGAGACTAGAAAACGCAAAGCTCGGCCCATTGAGGGCTAAGCTTTGAGCCCCCGACTGACAGCGGAATAGCAAGAGTCCCCTCTAGAAATATCCTAGACCCGTGGGCCACTAGGAAAACGGAGCCCTCTCCCAGCCAAAAACACTCCCAAGCCCCAATGCATCACAAGAGGACACAGCCGCTTATGCCAAGTTCCGCAAGCCATAGCTCTCCCAAGTCACTCGTTCGCAACATCATTCATTCTCGGGAACAGCTTATAAGCTAGGTGAAGGCGAGTTGTAAGACTAGGCAACACAAATCGCGATGGAGATTACGGCTGCCCACAAGTCCGAAACTTTCAAGTGGGCCACTGGCAATTTTGCCACTGACTTGGGAATTTGGTCCCGTGTCAACCCTGATATTTAGCTGTGATGTGGTGTGTGATGGTAAGTGTTGTACCACGTGTCATGCTCAAGTGCCGAAGCTGACATCGCTCCGTCGGCAATGGCCGTTCTCTCCAGTCAGCTGTCTGATACTTCTTGTCCAGCTTGACCTGAGCACGAGCGCAACTGCGACCAGCACCCAGGATGCTTTGCAATTTGCAACTCATCGTTTGCGACGAGAGAGAAAACAAAAGACGCAGCCTCTGCCTGTTTCTGGCACGGGCCCTGTCCGGATCAGATCGATAGCCGCGCAACGGCGCAGCTCAGCAACCTCTTTGGGCGCTGGTGGCGGCTACAAAGTCTACACAGGGACAGGTCGACCGATGACCAACATGCTGCCAGGTGCCTTGGGGAGCACAGCAAAGCGTTGACTTCGGTTTGCGTCCATGTGGCCCGGCATTGAGTGATTGAGTGCCCTGGCACATTGCCGAGCCTTCTCCGGCGATTGCGCGTCCCCAGCATCTCGAAGCCTTCGAGACGGCCGAAAGCCTTTCTGCGGGCCCTCCCGAAAGAACCTGGGTGCCTCCGCGTCTGCCGGACCTCTCCTTCGCCCTCCTCCCCCTCTGGCTCCTCAAAGCACAAACGCAAGGAACAAGTTCTGATCAGAAAATCCCAGCCCGGTCCTTGTCTGCCTGCGACTCATCCTTCCAATATTTGCACTGCCTACAAAACTGCTCGTCTTTGTAAGATGCAGTCCTCCGGCAGGATCAACCGCTTCTTGAAGAAATACAAGAGGACCGGCGAGATGAAACCTGATGGCATCTTGCCCAGAGGGTCGGTATGCCCTCATATCCAACGCACCTGTGACCCCGATGATGAACCACATGAGCTGGGAGTTGCGCTCCTGAGCAACAACACTCCTGCGACGCGAGCGCACAACAATGCCGGTTGCGACATTGTCCTGCGGAGGCACGTCTTGGGGACAGTACGTCGCCAAGGCCCAGCCTCGCCGGCAATTCGATCTTCGTTGTCCACTGTCCAATGCCACTTCGAGCTCGAGCCTGAAATGAGGCCCACCGGCAAAGCAGCCAGGTACATTGGCGCCATGGTGATGGCGAGGTACATGCCCTCCTCGGGCGCCGGACGGCAGTCAGGACGGCAGTCGGACGCTCAACTCGCGCCCCGTCAGGTCAACTCGCGTTCAGTCCTTGCCCTCGATGGCCGCCATGGTGGAAAACTCGTAGAGCGTGGGAGACCAAATGGTGTCCTCGGGTAACACTGCCTTCGCGGCAAGGCAGCATAACGTTTACATGGGAAATCGGTGCAACCAGTACTGAGACATAGTTCAGACTCACGTCACTGCTCCAAAGGCATCCCAGCCAAGCTTCACCGAGCGAGAGCACCAGCACAAACATCACCGCTCCCAAATAGGATTCCCAAATGGCAAGCGCAAACACCGAGATGCCGGAGATGAAGGATCCCCACATCCTTACACGGCCACAACACCAAGCGGCAACATGAGGCAAAAGGCAAGCTGCAACTTCTGCGTCAGCGTTGACTTCCATTTCCTGGGCACATTGAATGTTGATATGTTGATGTATTTCTTGTCGGACTTCGCTCGGCTCAAAGGCTCAGCTTGGCGCAGCAAGAGCCCCGTCATCAAGGGCGTGCCAATCATCTCCACAATTGGATTGATGGCGAGGATAATCTCGAAGGGCGCCTGGCTTCTCGACGGCAACCGTCTCTTGCCACCAAACTTGCGCGTCGCAAGGGGGTTTTCGATGTCGCATTCTCCTGCGGCCCGTAGGTGCGGATGAAGTACTTGGGGAAGGTGGCATCCACGTGGCGAAAGGTCATCCGAACACCTGACATGGACCCAACATGGGACGTGCGCAAGGCCAGCCGACACAAGATGACTAACCAAATCTCAAATGACACTTGTGTCGTCTCAAAATCAGAAGCTATCGGCGTACTGCTCCGTAATACTGGTGAGGGCCCCATTGTTCAAGCAGAAAAATCCCATCCCAAAGCCTGCCAGCTCTAAGCCGCATGTGTCCATCGGCCTATGAAGATGCCGGTGATGCCGGCCAGGCGCCAAAACTTTGGCTCTCTCATGATCTCCGCCAAGGTCTCCCGAACCTCGGGATCTGCATCCGGGATTTTCGGAGAGCTGAGACATCCCCAGCCTGGAAGTTCCCGCGCTTGTACTTGCAGTACTCCCGATCCTGCAAAAGCTGTCGTGTCCAGATTCTCCGTGATTCTGCCGGATCTCTCGCCCAAATCCCGGTGAATCCCGAGTCCTTCAGAGGCATGTCCGAGAGGATCTGGATGTCGCGGACGAAGAGAGCAGCAATGACCGTGTAGAAGGTGCACAACGTGCACCTGGGGCTGAAAACTGAACGTTTGCGCACTCCAAAAGGGGATCCATGCGATGCAGTCAAGGGTCACGCACAGAACCATCCGCATCCAACTGATCCGCACCTTGGCACAGTCACATCAACTCGCGACTAGCCGCCAAAGCAGCCGAGTGGCTCCCAGAATGACGGTGCCATCGACTAGGACATCCCGCACCACGTTGATGATGACGCTTCCCAGCAAGCAGCCCAGGCAAAGCATCGAGTAGAAGAAGGAGAAGGCAAAGGCGCGGTTTTCCCTCGCGAAGGTTTGACACGCACCGTCGGAGGCCCGAGGCGTCCCGCCTGTGGGTGTAGCGCCGAATGGCCAGCGCCAGGACGGGCACGCCGAAGGCCGCGCCGAGGGGCGCGATGGTCATCGTGGAGAACCACATGAGCTGCCTCACCGGCGTGAAGCGAACCAGAGCGAACCGGAGCGGCCAAGGCCGACATGGGCCGCATGAAATTGGCTACAAGGAAGCAGGGTGTTGAATGTTTGGACCAGCCACCGTGAGGAGGACACTGCACAAATGGCCCGGTAGAGCGTGGAGCAGGTACAACCTGGCAGAACAACCACACAAACACGCAAACACACCGAAGCACAGTCTGACTAAGGCAACTAAAGCAACTAACCCATGCCTACCAAGGTCCCTAGCATTCTCACTGCTTTGCTCACAACTTGGCTTTCCAAACATCGCCAAAGCCGCCCAGGATCATGGACTTTCGGACACCCAATCCGTCGATGACAAAGCCAAAGGCCAGGCCAAAACCTGGGGCAACAAGGCCATGGCGCACGCTCGTGTTGCTCTGGAGCCTAGGCACCTGCCTGAGAAAGTCAAGGACTGCCACCCTATGGAAACCCCAGGCCTGTGCAGGCAAAGCCGTAGGCCGCATAGAGGTTGCCCGCCTCCGTGTCAGACATGCCGTACTCATCCGAAACATAGGACCTGGGTGTCGCATTCCCGAGCCACGGAAATGGGGCGCAGCTCGTTTTGTCGCACGAGGAAACGGCACGTAGATGTAGGAGAAACCATAGTAGGCCGTGATCTCCGCGGCCTCAAACGTCGGAGAAAGATACGCGCCATGGCCTCAGAAACGCCTTGATGGAGAAGACGATGAAAAGGTCGTACGGCGCCTCTCGGATCAAACGACTTCATAACTAAAAGCAAGCCCGGACCTGCCTGGAGCAACGCAGCAGGCCCCTTCCACCTTGCAGGGGGACCCTCCAAGGCGCAGAGATTGCAGACTTCCCAGCGGACCCTTTGCCAACCCAGCTCTCCGCGACCACCGCCCCTTCTGACTTCAGCTCCTCGTTCTCCTCGCGAAGCCTCAGGGTGAGGCTTAGGCCCGAAGCCACCCCCAGGTGCCGCAGGCGGCGCGCCTGGACAGCTCCGCCAGCACCCCGGTGGCCAGCGTGACCTTCCCCGACATGGAAATGGGAAGAGCGGGCTCGCGTGATGCCGCGCGCCTGCAGCTCACGGACTTGCGCGCGCAGCTGGGCGTTCTCCGCCCGGAGATGGTGGATCTCATCGCCTGCGCGAGGCGCAAAGCTCCAAATCCGCCCAAATCCGCCGAGGAAACGGCCAATTCGGCAAGGAAAGACACGGGCGCCTGCGACGTGGCCCGCACCCGCACTCGCTGTGCCATCTGCGGCGACCCCCGTTGAGCCGTCATCCATGGCCTGGAGAGTCTGGGAGCTTGGGAAGCTTCAAACACCCCAGGAAAGGCATGCAATTCGGAGGCGCGAAGGAGTCATGGCTTAAAAGGGCAAGCTGTGTCAAAAGCGCACAAAGTATGGCTCACTTCTGCCACAAAGGGAAGAATCAAAGCCTCCTGCACCACATCCTGTGAAAACATGTTTTTTCCTGCCTCTTCCAATAATGCCGAGATCTCGAAACCTTGATTGAAAAGTCTCATCACAAATCGTCATACGTTCTGCGCCAACAGGATCTTGGGCAATGTTTGCAACTCTTTCCTTTTCTGTGGCAAGGCGAGTATTGGAGGCTCAACTCGTGCTTGAAGCCCGAATTCGCACAATGGGACTTTCCGTGCCTAGGCCTCGCCCGCGGGGCCATGCTCGGACGAAGCTGCTAGATGTGTGACTTCCGGCTTGGCGCTCCAGTGCTCTGGGCTAAATCGCTTCCAGCGGGTTGCAGTGGCTTTCACGTCAGATGTTCAGATGCAGTTTCAGAAGGCTACCGGAGATCCAGTCTGGAGCCCGAGCTCGCCCGGGCTCGCCCGGCTTACCCTCGCATGGCTTAGAGCCGCGCACCGCAGAACTGAGACACCAAGTTGGCCAGGGAGTAGCCACCTATCCGACTTCCGACTCCCGACTCCCGCACCTGGCCAACTTGACGTGCCCCCACCTTGAAGCCTCAATTGCCGTGTGGCCAGGCCCGTGTCAAACCTCGCATCGGCAGATTCGGCACGAATGAAAATAGGGGCAAACAACGGAAGCCATGGACGGTACACCCGCAGGGTCAGACCTGGTCAACCGTTCGCCGCTGGGCACAAGGCATATTCACCAGGTACACTGAGAAGTCCCGCTGCAGCCACATCACGTCACCTCACTTCCCCTTCCCGCTGCTTCCCCCCTCCGATGCTCCCTGGAAACTGTCATTTCCCCCCCAAAAAGAGCCCAAAGGAGGCTGCTTCTTACCTACAAGCCGTCAGCCCCAGGCGGTCAGCCCCGTGGAGCACTTTCAGAATTCTCGGATCCGAGAAGATCTGGCCATCCGAAAAGCTCGCAACGAGAAAATGCGAATATGCGCGCGATGCCTCATTCAATAAATGCATCTGCTCAAAGATGTCAAAGGGATCCACCAGGAAGTCTTTGTTCCGAGTGGACACCTCTCCGGAGAAAGAACCGAACAGAGAGAACACCAGCCAACGTTTTAAAATAGATCCGCGTGTTGCCACCGGCCTGGATTAGGCACACGAAGCCGCGATATGACCTCAGCACAGCACTGCAACCGAAGTTCCGTTGAGACGTGAGGTGCCTTTGGTCGTGGTGTTCGACGTCCACTGCAATCTCCTTGCCAGTGCAAGTCGCCTTGATCTCCTGGCCCAGTCTGCGACAATGTCTGCATGGCTCAACATGCTAAAGTTTTGGCGCAGGCCATGCAATGGGCAGCTTCCAACAACTTCTTCTGAGCTTTTAGGCCCACAGAGCGCCGCGAACCAGTGACAATACTGGCGCCAAGGCAGCTGCCTCGATCATCTCTCTCAGCTGCGACTCTGAGCGCACAATCACCAGCGGAGTGTCCTGAACTCGAGAGAGCACTTTTTGCCAAGTACTCGGGTCTCCCTGCCTCCACTCGTGGATACCGCTGCGCAGGGCGCGGCTCGAAGAAGCTGTCTGGCCAGGAGATCGCACTCAGCTCCTGGCGAGACTTTGAGGCTTGGCCCAAGGCGCACGCCGCACTCGAAGCATTCGAAGCATTGGAAGCCTTTGCTCTTTGTATGCCCGCCGCAAACAAGAAGAGAGAGAGAGAGTCGGTGAATTTAGGCGCTCGCGGCTTCCGTGGCAAGCAGCGGCCCCCGCGCAGCGCGCACTTGGCGTTTGGCCACCCACGCGCCGGCCACGGCCGCAGCCGCAGCCAGCAGCGCCGCTGCCGCGACGGTCGGATTGGTCCATGCGGGCCATACGGGCCATGCGGATGTGGTCAGCTGGCTTCCGGTGCTTCCGGCCAGCAGCTCCTCCCCAGCCGTCCAGGGCAGCTCGCAGCGCGTCTTCTCGTCCTCCGGGCGCCTGGCCGCCGCGCGGCGCATCGCCGCGTCCGTGGCGATGTAGTCCTCGCCCGTGCGCCGCGTGAAGTCCCGCGGCAGCTCCTGCCGCAGCTTCGCCCCGGCCCGCGGCGGCATCGGGCACTGCTGCGGGAAGGCGTGGTGCAGCCACTGGGCGAAGAGCCGACCGTGCAGCACCACCAGGCCATCATGCGCCTAAGCATCTTCAGCATCTTCAGCATGCACACAGCATGCACACTTTGCACACAGCATGCACACACACAGCATTTCTCCCCTGCTTTCAGGCTGTCTCAGGCGGTCAGCCCCTCTTGCGGCCCAGCCACAATCTCCTCCAAAGAGTGGCTGGGCGCCGCTGTGGGGGGCAGCACGGCACGCACGGCGGCGGCCACCGCTGCGGGCGGCGCCGCGGGCGCAGCCAGACCCTTCTCCAGCTTAGCCTCACTCCAAACCCTGGCCCCCACCTCAAAAGTTTAAAGGGAATCCGCCCAAACTGGGTGCGCTCCTTGAAATGCCGATTGTTGTGGAGTCCCTCTTGTTTTGACACGACCAAAACGAGCTTTCATGATCTGCAGTGAGTCAGTTAAGTTCATCTTGGCCGATGAGTGCAAAGCGGCGGCTGTTCTCCAGTACGGGCCTTTATGAACTCATTATTGGCGTAGTAGTGTATTAGTATTAATTGAGTAGTAATATTGTGCAAGTATTCCATTTGAGTTTAGTAGCAGCACTAGTTTGAGCATTGCTTCTTCTAGCTTGGTATCGCTTTTGGATTCGTTGATGTGTGTCTTTCTTCAGCAGTTGTTCTTAGTAGCACGCTTGCTTCAAACAAGCCATAACATCGGTCCAAATTGGTTTCATGTTGGTTTTGCGTCGCTGATTCAGGCATATAAGTCCAGGGCTGTTTTTCTTGCACCATACAGCCCAAGCTCCGGTACCGGCATTTATGAACTTAGTTCTGTTGCAATACTACTCTAGTACTAATTGAGTGATAGTATTGACCAAGTACAACTTGAGTTTAGTAGCAGTATTCGTCTGAGCATTGCTAAAATCATTTTGTATTGGTTGATGTTTGTATTCGTAGTCTAGTAACAGGTGAGTAATACTTCAGCGAGTGTTTCTAGCACCAGTTCAAATATGGCTTAGCGTTCGTTTCAAATTGCGGACTCCAATATGGAATCTTTGTTCAGCCTGTGACCATTGGAGCCAGTAAAGTGAACAAATGCAAGGTAAGCTGGAAACTGGGGCGCGTGTCTACTTCCAGCAGTTCTAGGTGTTTACGCGTACTGCATAAAAGCAAAGGAGTGAAACTTCTAGCCCAGTAAAGGGTAGAAAGTGGAACTCCCAATAGTAAAGTAAAAGTTGCTTGACTCCTTTCTACGTTTCCCCAGTAAAAGTAAACAAACCAAAAAAAAGAAGTGTTGGACCCATCAAAATCGATATAGAAATGTTAAAAAAAACACAAATGATATGGTTTTGTCAACAACAAAGCTGTGAAGCAAAAGAAGCAAAAACAAGCAAACAACCCAGTTGAGTCCTTCCGGCGATTTCCTAGAGCCGTGGCCACTGGTCTAAATGGGAGCGCGAGCTTGGGCCCGTGGCCAAATTGCAGTGTGGGTAGCCGGGAAACGTGCTGGCCATCAGAAAACCTTGGCCGATCCTCTTTCAGCATCTTCGCAGAGTGCGGGGATTCCAAATATACTAGCGATTGACTCAAGAGGAAAAGCCCTCTCAGCTCAGGCGGCCATGAGGTCGTCGCAAGGGTCCACGCAGCACTGGGCGTAGAACCGGGACGTCCCCACGCAGTTCGAAGCCCCCAGGACGTAGTTGGAGACTACGACGCTGGGTGCCGGCCCGCTCTCGTCCAGTGCGCCCAGGTCCCTCAAATACGTGACCTCAGATCCAGCAAACGCATGTCAAGGTGAAAGGCCGCGGCTGGATCCCTTACTAAAACGGTCTAAGATTTCTCGCTTTGGCCTCAACTTGCACTTGATCTCTCTGTGCGATTTGGCCTTGGCTGGTGTGCGTCGTGACCTGTGGAGGTTTCCTCCTGCTCACTACATAGGGGTTGTCGCGCCACCAGTGCCTGAACCCGTGTCAGGTTGGCACTTGCACCTATCAGTTGTTAGAGATCAAACTGGCATCAACGTTTTACACTATGCTGCGTGTTTCCAGGCTTGGCATCTGTGGTTGCTGGCAAAGCTGCCGGCTCTCACAAGCCGCAGTTGTCGGCAATATATGCTGACTTGGAAGGAAGCAGGCAAGGGAGCCGAGATCTCCCTTTGAACTCCTTGTGACTTCCACGTCAAAGTCTATTCGTTTTGCAGTGCTTTGCACACAAAAACGCGCGCGAGTCTTGACCTCTCCCATTCGGAGCTCGCCAGTTCCAGCCCCGGAGCTTCGCAGCTTCGGAGCTTCGGAAGCCGAGGCGCGCTCTCGCTGAACTGCCAGCGGTCCTCGTACAAAGAAGCCGCGTAGAAGCGGCTCAGGTCCACGCGCCCCGGGCAGCGCTCCATGCCGAAGAGCACGTTCTTCATGTCCAAACAGTCGCTCTCGTCGTGCCACCGCCCGTAGTGCTCCTAGGTACACTACGGAGCTGGCCAAGGAAAATTACGCATGTCTTATTCACTCATGCTCAATTGGCAGGGCTGACGCTTCTTTTTCTTACCTCTCGGATCTGTTCTAACGTCGATGCGTGTCCCGTGAGAAGACCAAAGCTGGACTAGCCGTCCTTGCCACTTGGGCAAATTGGTCCCTGGTACAGGTAGATACCACAGCCAGTTCCTACAATTGAAGCAGAGACCAGGGTCAGTACGCCTGTGTTTGTGGTTACGAAAAGGGGGGAGATCACCACCAGGATGGGGCCACGGAGACAAGCGGCAATGTTCTTCTGCACAGCATCGGAGTATTTGAGAATCCTAGAGACGGTGAGCCCTGCAAGGGCTTGCATGATCACAGTAAAGAACGTGTGTCTAGTGAAGCCATGAAAGAATCCAAGATGGTAGAGCTCCGCACACTTCCCGGACAAAATGATGAGAGCCGCAGTGCAAAGCACCGACACTGCATAAAGAACGGCGTTCTGGACGTTGATGTTCAGGTCGTTGCGTTTCAGCGCAAACTCGTTGATCACAGAACCCAAGGCGTTGCATGCTGTCATCATCAACACCAGCGCTAGGGACCAAGACAAAGCGCTCTGCAGCAGGTTCTCAAGTTGGTTGAGTACCAGGCCAACCGCCACCAAGCCGATGGCAATGAGACGAGCAGACCCCAGCGCGGTGCCAAAGACCATGCGCCACAAGAAGGCCGTCCAGAGAATCATGGTGTCGCGGAAAACTGCAAAGGCGGACATGTCATTACTGCCAATGGCCCACCAAACTAAAATATTGTTCACGGTAAAAATGAGGGCAGGAACTGAGAGCCACCTGACATCTGCCGTGCTCGGGAGACATTGCTTTGCTGGGGCCGTTGCATGCCCATGCGCACGAAGCTCATGAAGCGCCAAGCAAAGGGAAAGAACCAGCTTGATGAGCTCCGTCAGGAAAACTGCACACATGGGCTCAAAGCTGTAGTCCTCCTGCGACAGCTCGGATTGCACAGCCATAGACAGGTCGATGACCACTGAAATGAAGACATACACAACACACACGAGGTAAGACAGCAGGACCTTAGGCATCTCCGCCTGGCGGAGCCACAGGAAAACAAGGCTGGCCAAAATGCCAAGCCCAGCAGTTGGGAGCTCACCCCAAATACTCCAGTCCAAGCGGTCGCCGCTACCTGGCAATTGTGTTGTTGTGCTATCTTCGGTGGGCGCAAGCTTCGATTCAGTTTGAGAGCCCAATGGATTCGACATATTGAGAGGCGCCCCCAGAATGGCTGCAACCGCCTCCACGATGCCGTCGTCCTGGTAGTGCACCTCGTGGCCGCACGCAAAGCCAGGCGAAGTCACCTGCTGAACCGTCAGCGGCTCTTGCACTCCAAGCGCACAGCGAAAGTCTTGCAGCTCGAGGCCACTCAGCTTCCTCGTCAAGGCCAGGATCGTTGGCCCAACAATCTCGTGGTGCGCCGGGCGCGGCTGGCCCCTGGCAAAAATCTCTGCCAAATGCCCGTAGGCCTGGAAACCACGGCGGGGCAAGTAGAAGAAATCCTCAAAGCCAACCCAGCAGCCGACCGACACCGCAGAGAGTTGGGGATACTCTTGCTGCAGCTCAGCCACGGAGGCGAGGAATGCTGCCTTGCTGCGGCTCCAAACCTTCCACTCGCAGTCCAGATGCGCGAAAGGGTCATTGCATTGGTCCATGTGCTGGAAAGTCCGCCAATCCAGCTGAGCTTCTAGGCCAAAAGTGCCAAGTTTGGCCGGATTAAACCGCTGCACAAAGGCGCAGGGTGCCAACACTGCATCAAAGTGCATGTACAGCAGGCCGACGGAAGCCGCGTTCGGCTCCAGCATCTTTGCCACCTTTGCCACGCAAAGATATGGATCTCCTGGGTCCTGGCAAAGGTGCTCCTGGTCTCGAAGCTGTATCTCCTCTGTGGGCCACGCCAACAGCCAGCGGACTTCCAGGAAGAAGGGCTCGTAGGACATGAGCAAAGGCCTCCGCAGCTCGCAAATCTCTTTCGACTGTCGGCAGTGGACCAAAAGGGT